TGTCTCTCGAGAGGGGTGCCGAAACCACCCAGCGGGGTAGCGACCGCAGCCCCCCGCCCCCCTCACACGTACCCCGTCCGGCCCAAACGCCGGGTCCACGTCCCCGCCCTGTCCCCCCTTCTCCCCCCAGACCTTCCAACCACCACAACAAACGACAGGCGGCTGCTTCCATTTCGACCCACGGGGCAGTCGAATAAGCAACACGGGATGAAAAACTGGCCCAGGGAAGGGGCCGGGGGGCCGATGTCGCAGCAAACGCCAGACGTCGGAAACATGGGCCTGCTTCCCCATTTCATCCCCGTCCCCCCTCCCGTTCCTTATCCCTCCACCCCCCTGCCTCCCCCATCCACCTCCCCCCTTGCTACGCAATCACTTGCTCTTCCGTTTTCATGTTCTTACCCTTCCTCCTCCTCCTCCTCCTCCTCCTCCTCCTCCTCCTCCTCCTCCTCCTCCTCCTCCTCCTCCTTCTCTTACCCCTCCTCCTCCTCCTCCTGCTCCTCCTCCTCATCCTCCTCCTCTTCCTCTTCCTCTTCCTTTTCCGCTTCCTCCTCCTCATCTTCCTCCTCCTCGTCCTCCTCCTCCTCCCCCTCCTCCTCCTCGTCCTCGTCCTCCTCCTTTTCGTCCTCCTCCCCATCCTCCTCGTCCTCGTCCTCCTCCTTTTCGTCCTCCTCATCCTCCTCCTATTATTCCTCCTCCTCCTCCTCGTCCTCGTCCTCCTCCTCAACAGCTCGAATTGTTATGCGACCTCGATCAGCTCCACAAGCAAGACCAGCCAGGCAGACACTCGGACCACCACGGAGGACGAAGAAGAGAGATAGGGAAATCCTGACATCAGCCCACGGCGCCAGTGCGGCACTGGACGGGGCAGCACGCCAGCGGTATCGGAGCTTCCACCACGGCTCATCGAGCATCCCCTGGCAGCACGAAGGGCCCTCGCAGCAGCGCGCGAAAGTGGAGAGGGAGGGGGGCCCAGGAAGACGCTGCACTCGTAGGGGGTCCAAAGAGCTGGGCTGGGAGAGAGTAGAGCCAGGGAGAACTGCCAACAAACATGAACCCATGGTATGATGATTCGCGACAACGACCATTACCGGCCACGCCACCTACCCCCTGGTCACGTCACGAGTCGCGCCAACGCCGTCTCGGAATTGGCCATCCAACAGAAGCATTCCCGAACGGCGTCGCGCGAATCGTGGCGTTAGCAGCCCCCTCTCCCCCTCCCCTCCCCCCGGTCACGCCCGTCATCGCCAAGGGATTACTAAGTGCCTCCGTCGGATGCACATTCGTCGCCGCAGGGGCAGATGGAAAAACACTCAACCCTTCTGGCCCCCGATCGTGCAGGGACAGCGGCTGCGCTACAAGCCACACCAGGATTTCCGCAGCGCCGAGCCGGAATTGGGCGCGCCCTAGACCACGGCTTGATATGATTAAGCTGTGTCTCGTTACGCCCTTTCCGCCCGCGTGGCTTCTTCTTGGTAGAGCCTCTTCTCATTTGTACTCACCTTCATCTTCCTCTTGTTCCACTTTCCTCCCCCACCTATCCCTCGCGCCTTCCACCGCCAGAGGTGAGGCATGGGTGCGGGTAAAGGAAAGGAACGGGGGAAACGGGGAGGGAAGGCGAGAGGGGAGGGAGCGGGGGGAGGGAGGGAGGGAGGGAAGGAAGACGAGAGGGGAGGCAGAGGTACCAATCAGAGTGGACCCCGCTCAGCCCCCCGCAACCCCACTTCGGAGCCAAGAAAGTTTCGGAGGGGAGTGGCTCCTGGCATCCAACTCAAATTTGGGAAGGTGTCCCCTGTCTCCTTTTGAGGGTGATCTGCCAGTGATGTGGCAAGGGCAAGTTCGTCTTTGCCTGGCCGCTCTCCCCAGGCTGACTTTGTGCTTGCACGACCCGCAGACTGCAGAGCTCCGAGATCCACAGCGAGGAGGGGAGGGAGGGAGGGCGGGAGGAAGGGATGGAGGATGGCGGTGAGGAGGGAGGGAGGGAGGGAGGGAGGGAGGGAGGGAGGGAAAGCGAGAGGGGAGGGCAATCTACCCCCCCCCCCTTCCCCCCCGAACGCGACGTGGTCAGCTGGACCACCCCGGGCGCCCGCAACGAGACCCCTGCCCGCGCCCCTGGCAGAGGCTCGGCGGCGCCGAGCCGTGCGACCGAGCCCGGCGCCGACAGCCTGGTGCCGGACAGGACCTGTGGGAGCCCCGCTCAGAGCACCGCTCCGATCTCGGCTGCTCGCAGGACGCGGCCCCGGGCAAGGAGTGGCCTGTCGGGCGCGGCTTCTGCGGGGCGCGAGGGCAAAGCCTCAGCGCGCAGGCCGCTGCTATCGCACCGCATCCAGCGATCGGGGAACCTCAGTGGGCCCGCACCAAAGGTCACTCCAGCAAAGGGTCACTCTTACGTGTAGCCGACGATCCTCCTCCGCGCACCTCCCAAGGCAGGTCAGCGCAGGCTCCAGCCAGCCCCTCCCCCCGGTCGAGGGCGAGGTCGGCGCGCCCTCGCTAACTCGTCCTCGGGGGGGGGCGGGTAGGGGAGATCGGAGTGGCGGTCAGGAGAGGGAGTCCCCGAAGGACCTGCAGAACGTCTGTTATGTGGAAGAAAGATCGGGAGCCCATCCCGAAGGCGCCCTGCTCATGCGGAGACTGCCGCTTCACGCTGTCGCACATGAACTGGATGCTGCGCCAGTCGCGGTCCTCCAGTCGCGCCCAACTCCTACTCCTCTTCCCCCTCCTCCTCCTCCTCCTCCTCGTCCTCCTCCTCCTCCTCCTCCTCCTCCTCCTCCTCCTCCTCCTCCGTGAGCATCAGCATCAGCATCAGTATCAGTATCAGCATCAGCATCAGCATCAGCATCAGCATCAGCGTCATCGTCGTCAGCATCATCATCATCATCATCATCATCATCATCATCATCATCATCATCATCATCATCATCATCATCATCATCATCATCATCATCATCATCATTAGCATTAGCATCATCATCATCATCATCATCATCATCATCATCATCATCATCATCATCATAATCAGCATCGTCATCATCGTCATCATCATCATCGTCATCAACACCGTTATCATCATCAGCAGCAGCATCGTCATCAGCATCATCATCATTGTCATCATCGTCATCATCATCATCATCAGCAGCAGCAGCATCGTCATCATGTTCATCATCACCATCATCAGCATCATCATAATCAGCAGTATCATCATCATCGTTATCATCATCATCAGTATCAGCATCAACATCATCATCATCATCATCATCATCATCATCATCATCATCATAGTCATCATCATCAGCATCATGATCATCAGCATCCTCGTCCTCATCCTCATTATCATCCTCATCATCCTCAGCATCCTCATCATCATCCTCATCATCATCCACATCCGCATCATTAGCACAACCACCATCACCATAAATCATCATCAGCATCATCATCAGTAGCATCAGCATCATCAACATCATCATCAGCGTCATCATCCTCATTATCATCAGCATCAGCAACATCACAGACATCATCATCATGAGCAGCAGCATCAGCATAATCATCATCATCAGCAGCAGCTGCATCATCATGATCACCAGAATCACCAACACCATCGCCATCACTACCACCGCCACCACCATCATGGTCATCAGTAGCATCATCCGCACCATCATCAGCATCATCATCATCAGCATCATCATCAGCATCATCAGCAGCAGCAGCAACAGCATCAGCATGAGCACCGTCAGTAGCATCGTCCTAATCACCAGAATCACCATCATCGTCATCAGCATCATCAGCATTAGCAACATCATCTGAATCATCACATCATCATCAGCAGCCGCAGCATCATCATCACCATCATCAACATCATCATCAACAGCAGCATCATCATAATGAGCACCACCACCAAAATCCGCATCATCATCAGCATCATCATCATCCCAGCTCATCATCAACATCATCAGCATCAGCATCATCAGAAGCATCATCAGCATCATCAGCATCGTCACCATTATCATCATCACCACCACCATCATCATCACCATTATCATAATCAGAACCATCATCAGCATCAGCAGCAGCAGCACTAACAACATCAGCATCAGCATAGTCATCATCATCATCATCATCATCAGCAGCATCATCAGCATCATCAGCATCATCATCAGCATCATCAGCCGCATCATCATCGTCATCATCATTACCGCACCCACCATCATAGTCACCGGCATCATTAACAGCAGTATCATAAGCATCGTCAGCATCATCAGCATCACCATCATCATGATCACCATACTCACCAGCAGCATCATCATCATCAGCAGCAGCAGTAGCAGCATCAGCACAATCATCATACTCATCAGCAGCACCACCGTTCACATCATCATCATCATCATCATCATCATCATCATCATCATCATCATCATCATCATCAGCAGCAGCAGCAGCAGCAGCAGCAGCAGCATCAATAGCCATAACATCAGCATCAACAGCAGCATCAGCATGACCATCAACATCATTATTAGTATCGCCATCCAAGTCACAATCAAAACGTCATAATCATCATACTCGTCCTCCCCATGATCATGGTCGTCCTCATCCCATGGGTCCTTCTCAAATTCCTCACCCCAGACCTTCTAGTTATCCTCATCGTCGACATCGTGCTCTAACGAGGATTTCAAAGCTCCTCAGCGTGCTCCTGAGGCCACTGTCAGAGTCACTATCACCACTGTCAGAGTCACTAGCCCCACCACTACCGCCACAATCATCTGTAGCCATTCGGGAATCGGCTGGCCCATGGGCGACAAGCTGGCGCTGCGACGCGTCTGACATGCCCCAGAGAGCGACTCAGCCCTTTTGTTGCGCCCCCGTCGAGCGGGCAGTAGGGCTGCAGGTTTCTGTAGCCAGCGGGTCTCCGTGGCTAGCGCGTGTCGCGCTCGGCGGGAGGCTGCACGACAAGCCACCTGCGAGCGCTTCACTGTAGCACCCGCGCATGCACGTCATGGCGCTGGCGAGCAATGTCGAGCCGTCTGAACAACAGCTCGCTGCCGAGGGCAGGCGGCAATCGGCGGTGGCGTCACAGGCAGCGGCTCTCGCAGCACCGCAGGTTGACATCGCTGCGCCGTGCGGCGAGGCCGTGCGTGGCGAATGTCATGGCCTTAGCTGCACCAGCGCTCGAGGGCGCGCTGGCAGGAGCGCCCGTGGCACGGACGCCTGAGGAGCAGGCGCAGCGGGCCAGGCGGAATTCGGGCACGTGGCATGCTCTGTGCGGCGAGGCGAGGGGTGAGCATCGCATGCGTGCGCCAGAGACCGTCTTGAACCGCCTCCAGCGGAGCGGAAAAGGCGGCAGCCTGCGCGCCTGGCGTGGGCCCCCCGCGCGGCGGCATCAAGGCCTGCAAGCGGCAAGCCTCCAGCTTGCGGAAGGGGCGCGGCTGACCCCGTCCACGCACACGCGCTCGCTGGCCTCGGGCGCGCGGTGGTGGCAGGCGCAGGCGGCGCGCGCGAGGCTGGGCGACACCAAGGAGGAGCCGACCCTCGAAGGCCAAAGCGGCGCGCCCACCAGGGACGTCGGCGACCAGCAGCACAGCTCGGAACACCAGCTCGGCGCGCACCTCGTCGACCAGGCGGGCAACGACGCGGACTGGGCCCCTCACGGCCAGCACGGCGGCGGCCACGACGTGGAGGGCCATGGCAGAGCGGTGCGGGCAGGGGCAGCGCGGGCACAGCTCCTGGGCACGGTGGTGGGCAGCCAGCTCGGCGCGGGCACCCCCCTGCCCGACGACGAGCACTGCACCGAGCACGGCGGCTGGGAGAAAGGCAGCGGGGGCTCGCAGGCCGCGGAGCACGGAGGGCAGGCTCGGCGCGCCCGCCTGGGGAGGACGACGCGGCCGGCGTCGAGCAGACCTCCCGGACGACGAAGGGCAGCGCGAGGAGCGCGGCGCGGACCAGCAGCTCGGCTCGGCCGAGCGCAGGCTAGCGGAGCGCGCGCCCATCCTACCCGACCTTGGCGCGCTGCCGCGCACACAGTGGCGCGTTCTCGTCGCCTGGGGCGAGGGCGGCGAGCTCGACGACCCCCCGAGGAGGCGCACAGCCTGGAGTTGCGCCGGGCGCCGATAGACCTCCGCGAGCGGCGCCGCCAGTATTGGAGGCGCCGAGCAGCAGCAGAACCAGGCCTGGGAGCACCTTGGGGGGCTGGCCCGAGCTGCTCGAGGCGCTGTCGGCCTGGCCTGTCTGGATGGGGGGCAAGCAGCACTGCCACGCAGGCCCTGTCGCCATGTACACGCCACGCCCTGGGTACCGACGGAGCGGTCGCACACCACGTCTGCTGTCTTGCCCCCAGGGGGTGCAGCAGAAGCTGGGGGGGCCTGGGAACGCTTCCAGCTCAAACGCGTCCTTCGACGGCGATGGTTTCGGCCACTGCCCCGAGTGGTACGCGGGCCCGTCCCCTCCACTCCGCGGGAGGAGCGCCGCGGATGGCCCAGTCCTCAGGTGGGGCGTCCGCATCGTGGCCCGCGACGCATCCAAGCTCGGCGGGCCCCGCGGGTGCGCCTGGCGGCTCTTCGCCCAAGGGGTGGCGTGGACGTGGTCCGCCAGCAGGGGAGCCGGGGAGCGACGCAGTAGTGCCGCTTGCCTGGTTCGGCAGTCTCGCGGCCCCGCGCAGCGCAAGGGGCGGCTATGCACGCGCAGCGCATGGTGCGGCTGTGTATTTCGCCCAGTGAGGTGGCCGTTTTGCGACGGCGTCGCTGTGGCTCAGCCAAGGCGCATGCACGGGTGATGGGAGGGCGGCCGATCGGCTGCCTGCGCTTCAGCGGTCAAGGCGTGACCTCCCGATCAGACTCGCGAGAGACTGCGATATCATCACCGCCATCAGCACCACCAGCGGCGTCACCACCACCACCACAACCACCACCACAACCACAACCACCATCACCACCACAACCACGACCACCACCACCACCACCACCATCGCTATCCTCGCTGTTGCGATGACAACCATCCTCCCCCTCCTACTCCGCCTCCTCCTCCTCATGAGCATCATCATTAGCATCATCATAACCACCACCACCACCACCACCACGTTCATCATCAGCATCATCATCAACATCATCATCACCATCCTCATCAGTATCATCGTCATCATCAGCATCATCATCGTAATCGTCATCGTCATCGTAGTTGTAATCGTAATCGTCATCATCACCATCATCACCACCATCATCAACATCATTTTCACCATCATCATCAGCAGCAGCAACAGCATCGTCATCATCAACAGTACCAGCATCATCAGTATCATCATCACCACCAACGCCACCATCATCAACATCATGAACATGATCGCCATCATCATCATCATCATCAGCATCATCATCATAATCATCATCATCATCATCATCATCATCATCATCATCATCATCATCATCATCGTCATCGTCATCATCATCATCATCATCATCATCATCATCATCATCATCATCATCATCATCATCATCATCGTCAGCATCATCATCATCATCAGCATCACCATCACACCATCTCATCATCCTCAGCATCACCACCACCATCACCATCATTATCAGCATCATCATCAACATCATCAGCATCATCAGCATCAACATCATCAGCATTACCCGCATCAACATCAGCAGCAGCAGCACCGTCATCACCATTACGGTCATCCTCATCAGCATCATCATCAGCAGCAGCATCAGCATCAGCATCATCAGCATCAGCAGCAGCATCGTCATTATCATCAGCAGCATCACCACTACAATCATCAGCATAATCGTCATCAGCATCAGCATCAGCAGCATCATCATCACCATCGTCATCGTCATCGTCATCGTCATCATCATCCTCGCCATCATAATCCTCGTCGTCATCATCGTTGCCGTGATCAGCATTATTTGTTATCAGAATCGGCATCATAATCGCCGTCATCAGCAGCATCGTCGCATCATCGTCGCATCATCGTCATTATCGTCCTTCACCGCCTCCTGGTCTTCCTAACCTTCATCCTGCCTCTACTCATCATCCCCCCTCCTACTGCCCCTCCCCGCCCTCATCCTTCTTCTCCTCCTCCGTCTCCTTCTCCTCCCTCTTACTCCCCCTCGTGAACCTGATTTGCACGCACGCTTTTTCCAGCGTTCGAGCCGCAAAGGGGCCGCGCCACCTCACTCGCACAAACACCGCGGCAGCATCCTCGGGGCCGCGTCCGCGACTCCTTCCGAGAATGCCGACGGCCCTCTGTGACAGGCGAGACGATGCGGTGCGGCAGGCTATTATGAGCTACTAGGGCCAGCTGTGTTGGGCCTCCGAGGGCAGATGGAGTGCGCGTGGCATGCGGCGTCGACCACGTCAGCCCCGCTGTGCCACGGCGACCCCAGCGGGATCCATCGCCAGCAGCCGCTCGAAGGCGAATGCTGCGTACCGCCTGGAAGAAGCGAGGGCGTCTGCGGGCACCTCCTGGCAGAGGCGCTGTTCGGGGGCCCCAGAACTGGGTGGCGACGGACCGCGCGGTGACCTCGAAATCCCAAGAGACCTCACCGCACGGTCTTTGAATCTCGGAGGCCCTGGTCGCCCGAGACGTCCTCGGAGAACGACCCGAGTCCCAAAACCGTTCGGTGACCCCGAATCCCCACTGACTCACCGCGCGGTGTGGTCACCACACCGTTTGGGGGCCCCCGAGCTGTACCTGACCCGCCGTGGCGCCCGCGCCCGCGCAGTCTGCGGCCCTGAGGACCCTCGAGCGGCTGCACAGCTCCCCGAGGCCGGGCGAGTTGGGGACCCAGGCTACGCTGCCGTCCTCACGGCTCTCGGCGAGGATCGCGTCCCCCAGGTCTGTCTCCACCACAAGGAAGTGGTGGTACGCAGGCCTCTCAGGCGCCGGGCTCGACTCGGCGCTGCGGACGAACTCGGAGACCTTCACCACGGGCGTGCTCGCCGGCGGCGGCGGGGGAGCGCACAGCTCGAACACGGCCCCCACGGCCTCATCGCCGCCCTCGGGCTGCGTGGTGCGCACCTCGGGAGCAGTGACCGACCGTCTCGGCATTCCTGTAGGCCTACCACGAAATGTTCTTATAACCCAAAAATGCTCTGATAACAAAAACGGCGTTCTTAGAACATAATTCCGATGCGTTGAGACAAGATAACCCCAGCCAGAAATGCTCTAAGAACATCCCGTGCAGACCACAAAAGGTTCTTCGAACCTCGTTTGGCAGGCCTATAGGCACGCCAGGACGCTTCGCCACTGGCTGCACCTCCACGGAGCCGCGCCGGTAGATGCGGAACCTGACGCCGTCCTCGGTGCTCCGGTCGAACACGGGAGCCGCCGCGCCCAGGGCCTGAGCAGCGCCTGCCCCGTCGTGCTCCAGCGGCCTGCGGGCGGGCCGGCCGCCCGGGCCCGCGCCCCGCCCGAAGCTGATCGAGAAGGCGCTCCTATAGGAGGAGGAGGAGGAGGAGGAGGAGGAGGAGGAGGAGGAGGAGGAGGAGGAGGAGCTGACGGCATGAGCATGGTCAACTTTCGACGCTCCGCGCGGAACTCCCCTGGCAGCGCCGCCGGCACCGCCCCTGGCGCGCTCCGCACGCCAGGAAGGGTCCAGCGCAGATCCAAGGAATCCGCGCGGGGCGTCGAGAGTGTATGTGTGCGTCGTTTTGTTCTCCTGCGAGCTCCTCCAGGACGCGGGGAACAGCGGCCCAGGCGCCTCCGCCGAGAAGTCCTCGCCAAGGAAGTGCTGTCGCCTCCGCGCCCGCGCATCCCTCTCCTCGCCGACGAGGCGGCGCAGCGACTCCAGGCGCGACCCGTCCCCGGCGGGCGGCCCCTGCGGGGGAAGCCAAAAAGGTTCGAGCAGAAGATCGACTATAGAACTGCTGTACCCCAACACTGATGCTGTCGTCGCATCTGCGACAACATACGCAGAAGTTAGTATGTCTACGAGCATGAGGAACATGTGTCGTAGAGCCGACAAAAAAGCCAGTCTGGGGTACATCTACTCTGCAGTCGATCTCCGATACTCGGAAGGTACTGGTACCGCTGCTCCCCCGACCTCTCCCGCTGTGCGTTCTGACCCGAATGTCGAGGCGACTCCAGCCGTGGCGACGGGGGACTCCCAGGAGGCCCCAGAGGGCGAAAACGAAGCCAGGGCAGCCGTATGGGCTCCCTTCTCCTCCTCCGACCTGCCCCGGCCGGCGGTCGCAGAGGCGGCTGCCGAACACCTCACGGAGCAGCGAGGCCGCCGCCGGGTCCAGGCCCGCGCGCTCCCACGGCGCAGCGTCGCCGCCTCCGGCCCGGCCAGAGGCCCGCGCCCGCGCCCGCCGCGCCGCCGCCAGCACGGCGCGCCGCACGGCGCCCTCGAGGGGCACTGGTTGCAGCTCCTCCTGCGAGGAGGCCTCCCGAATGGGGTCCGAGCGATCAGGCGCGGTCGGAGCGTCGCGCCGCGCCGCCGATGCATCGGCGATGCAGCGGCGACGTGGGCGATGACTCGGCGACGCGGGCGTGGAGACCCTCGAACTCCGCACCGAGCCGCATCCGCCGGTGCGTCCGGCGAGGCGGGGGGAGCCCTCCGACGCCGCCTGCTCGGGCCCCACCCGGGGAGGCCTGCACTCCTCCAGCAGCGCCAGCTCCTCCGCGTGCTCGGCCGCGCAGGCCTCGGCGCCGGGGGCCTCCGTCGCGGGGGCCTCCGCCGTGGAGGCCTCGGCCTCGCCCGCGGGCGGCGCCTCGTCGGCGCCCGCGGCGCTCCGCAGGGCAGAGAGCTGCCGCAGGAGCTCGGCGCGGTCGGCCGGCCCGGGCGGCGCGGCGCCGCCGGCCTGCCGGATGCGGCTCCGCAGCTCCCGCTGCGAGAGCCGGGCGAGGTCCTCGGCGGCGTCTGCGGCGGCTGCGGCGCCTGGCGCCTGCTCCGAGGCGTCGCCGCCGCCCACGGACTTGTGCACTCGGACGGGCGCGGAGAGGTCGAAGGCGTCGATGTTGAGGTCCACGCCGCCGCTGAGCTGCACGCCGCTCTTGAACACCCCGTTCTGCACCTCCTGGAGGACGCCGTCGCACACGAGGACGTTGTAGCTCAGGCGCTCGCTCTTCGTGAGCGGGAGCTCCAGCCGATTCGCGGCCTGCTCCCTCGGGGCTTGCAGCCAGAACTCCTCCAAGCAGACCCCACTGTCGACCAAGAACTTCGCCAGAATCGACGCCCTTGAGACCTCCCGCAGTTGGTAGACGACGCTCTTCCTCTCTGCGATCAAATCGAAGTAGTGGGTGAACATCTCAGCGTACTTCACCAGGGGATGGTCTGCTGTCGTGAGAGGTGCGTCGACAAGCTGGTGCATTTCATCGGCCACCTGTTGGCGGGCTTCCACGCCCATCTCCACGTGGGGCATGAGCACGTTGTCGTCCGACAGGAACACCTTGGCGCTCCTGACCACAAACCACTCGCGGCCCCTCCACGAGTCGCCTTTCCACTCGAAGTCCCAGACGCTCCTCATGCCCATGACGGGCTGCTCGAAGTCCCCGATCGACAGCTCCTTGAGATGGTAGTCCGCTTGGAAGAGCACTTCGCCAACGCACGTGCCACTGAGCCACGGGGGGTCGAAGGTCTTGACCTGCCAGGGCTCTTCGGTGTTCGGAGTGTCCAGGGAGAAGTACGGCGCCACGCCGGCCTTCATCCGCACCTGCAGGGCGATCGCCAGATACTCCAGGTTGATGGCGCAGTCGGGGTCCTCCGTCCCGATGAGCCGCACCCTCGGCGGGCTCCCCCCCTCCAGCGCCAGCCCGTACGAGCCGCCCCCGGAGGCGCCGCGCGGCGGCCGCACGCCCCGCGCCTGGAAGAAGTCCTCCGCGCGCGGGACGACCTGCTCCGGCCGCCAGCCGATCCGGTACTCGTGCCGGTCGCGGGCCTTGCACTGCGCCACCTCTCTGGGCGCCCGGATAGGGCCTCCTCCTCCTCCTCCTCCTCCTCCTCCTCCTCCTCCTCCCCCTCCTCCTCCTCCTCCTCCTCCTCCCCTCCTCCTCCTCCTCCTCCTCCTCCTCCTCCTCTCCTCCTCCTCCTCCTCCTCCTCCTCCTCCTCCTCCTCCTCCTCCTCCTCCTCCTCCTCCTCCTCCTCCTCCTCCTCCTCCTCCTCCTCCTCCTCCTCTGTGGGGGGCAGGCAGGTGCCTGGGGGGAGCAGCGCCCAGCAACGAGTGTCGTCCCAAACCAACAGCGGCCGCCGTTGGGCAGGCGCCTCGTCGTTTGCAGAGAAGGACGCCCGCGGCGGCGAGGACAGCAAGCCCTGCTCAGAACGAGCAGGAGCTCATGTCGGGCACCGTACCCGTTCCTTCCGTACCCACTTCGATCGTCCCGAGCCTCCCGCCGCCGGTCCGCGTCGTCCGCCTCGGCCCTCTCGAGGAGCACCTGGCCCAGGCACTCCCCGTGCAGGGACCCCGTGCCGTCCGGGTTCGGGTAGGCGCCCGCGCCGAGGGGCAGCAGGCACTCGTGGCAGAGGGCCACGAGCTCGCCGTCCGAGTCCTCCGCGAGGTCAAACTGCTCGAGCGTGCCCTCCGGCACGGCGGGCTCAGTGCCGACAGAGCGGAGGACGTGCCTCAGCGCGCGCCTGCCGAGGCCGCGGAAGGAGCAGGTGGCGGCCCTCTGGAGGCTCCTGGGCTGGAACCACAGCCTCGGCGGGTCGCCCTCCCCGTCGCCGCCCTCGTGCACACCCACCACCACGTACTCGTGGCCCTCCCTGTCTTGCACAACCTCCCCGTGCGAGAACCCGCCCGCGGCCTGGCACACGGCGTCGCGGACGTCGAACTTCGCGTACTGCGGCGGCCTTCCCAGTCCCAGGGCGTAGGCAAAGGTCTGCTGGAGGCCCTCGGCACAGGGGGCCCGGCTCTCCCGCAGAAGCGCCAGCCACAGCTCCCCGAAGCCCTTGCAGAGGTCCAGAGCGTGGGCTCGAGCCGAGGTGCAGCGCGCCGAGATCGGTCGGCGACTCCGAAGGGCTTGCTTTGCAAAGGCTGTGGCTTGCAACAGGCACCCTGGGGGGGGGGCGCACCCTCGGGGGCGGGCGAGGACCTCGATAGGCTCTCCGCCGCGCCCCGAGGAGGCCCGACGAGCCGTGTCGTGCCCCCCAGGCCCCAACGGCGCCGATCGCAAACCACACCCCGGCGTACCCACACCATTTGTAGTCGCCGAATCAGACTCTCCCGGCTGGCCCGATCGCCCGCCGAGGCCAACAGCTCTGCCGCCCTGGCGGCTGCCTCCCTGCCGGCCCTCGCGTGCTCGGACCTGCACTGCCGCGACGAGAGGCCGATGTCGTCGCCCTGCTCGCTCCAAAGCAGGTCGACATGCGCCCTGGCTTTCGTGTCCCACGCGATGCCGGCCTGCGCGGTGTTCTCGATCCGCTCGTAGTGCATGGCAGCAGCCTTCGCGACTTCCGCTGCGCAGTCGAACGCCCCGCAGTCCAGCAGGACTGCCGCGGCCGACTGGAGCATGCCGGCGCACGCGTCCTGGGCGCCAGAGGACACGAAGTGCTCAATCTCCATGGACAGCAGGCTGTCGAGCGTGGACCTGGCACCAGCGTAGTCTTCTGCCTCTACAGGCCTTCCAGGCGGGGTCGAAGTAGATGGGGTCGGAGGATCTCGCCGCATCGCCGATGCATCGGCCATGCATGGGCGACGTCGGCGGTGCAGCGGCGGCGTCCGCGTGGAAAAGATCGGGCTCCACGTCGAGCCGCATCGCCGATGCATCGGCGATGCGGCGCGATCCTCCGACCCCACCTGCCCGTGCCCCACCTGAGAGGCCTCCATTTACCCTTGACCCTGGACCCCAGGACCTCTCGACCCTGGACCCCTCGACCATCGTCCCTCGACCCGACCCTCGACCCCAGACATGCGATGTCCTGATTTTTGTCAGCACGGGGCCCCTGGAAGCCCCGAGGGACCCGTGCCTCATCCTGAGTCGCTTGTCGACGCTCCCGGGGCCCAGCGATGGCCCCCAGAGGCCCGCAACGACGAAGCGCCTCCCGATCGCGCCTCCCGATCGTGATCTTGTTCTGCGATCGCGAGCGGGCCTCGCTCGCCTCGCTCGCCTCGGCGGGGGCGGCCAGGCGCGCCAGGGCCCTGCCCGCGGCCGCCACGGCCTGCGCGTGGTGCTCGCGCCTCTGCGCGCACGCCGCGCCGCCCTCGCGAGGCAGGGCCGCCGTCTGCGCCAGGTGGCCCCGGGCGGCCGCACCCCACGCGCTGCCCGCGCGCCGCCGCAGGCCGAGCTCCTCTTCTCGTGACGAGCAATAGAAAAGGTACCCCTGACCTGCGGGGAGGGGAAGGGGCCCCCAAGACGCCCCCAAGAGGCCCCCGAAGAGGCCCCCAAGCGGCCCCCGAGAGGCCTCAAGAGGGCCCCCAAGATGCCCCCAAGAGGTCCCCCAGAGGCTCCCACGAGGCCCCAAGGCCCCCGAGAGCGCCCCGAAGAGGCCCGAAGAAACATCTCTGAAAACTCTGACCCACAACCCAAGAGAATCTCGAGAAAGGAACGCTGTGGGGCCCTCCTCTCTCGCAGCAAATAAGGAAAACCCTACAACATGGTAACCATCTGGTGCTGCGAGCTGCGAGTGCTGTGTACGTTGATTGCCTCACTTTCGCAAATCACCACAAACGAAACCAATATGTAATCCATAGATACATTGCTTTCGCATCTGCGAGATTTGGAGATGCAGCGCCGCGGAGCCGCGAAAGCTACCCAGGAACACAAAACATAAGGAAAACAATAAAAACATGTATTCTCACATGGGAAAGCAAGAAAACTCAGGAAGACATGTGACCGTCAGCGCTTTTCATTGTAAGACCAATGCAAATGGCGACAACCACAGGTGTACTGAGTTGTTTCGACTTTTCCATGTGAAAGCATAGGTTGTGTAATGTGTTTCTTGGCCGTTTGTCTTGTGTTTCTGGTAAGCTTCCGCAGCCCCGCGGCGCCGTCACTAGAATACATCACAAGTCATATCACATTGAAAACTCCGCGAGCCAAATCAATGTTTAATTCATTACAATGTAAGCCCAGAGCCAAGCTCAATGTGCAAATCCCGGCCAGCGAAATTGAGCTAGTTCGAAACAACGATTCCGTTGTAAAGGCTGCTACAAAAGGATTCTAAGTGTGGAGGCCACTGCAGATCCCCCTCACTTGAAGTCACTATGCACGGTCGCCACATAAGAAATCCTTGTGTAAGGGCTGCTACACACAGGATTGGAAACTGTGGAACGTCTGCACCATAAGGGCACCGACAATCACAAGTCTTCCTAGCGTTTTCCTGTTTTGCCCTGTGAACACACAGGTGCTCTCCTGTTTTTTTCAATTTTTAATGTTGTCCTCTTTAGCAATCCTGGCCTCAAGGAGCCGCCACTTCAGATCCCCCCACAATGAAAACCTGCATGTCAGGCCGCCACATTAGGATTCCCTTGGTACAGGCTGTTACAAAAAGAATTCGAAATGCGGAGGCCACTGCAGATTCCCCTCATGTAAAATCCTTGTGTAAGGTCGCCACAAAAGAAATCCTTTTGTAAAGGCTGCAGGCGCACGTATCCTTAGCTTTCTCCTGCTTTTCCATATGAAAAACATAGTTATTGTCACTGTTGTCCTGGTTTTCCTGTTTTCCTCTGTAGCTTTCCCTGGGCTCAAAGTGCCGCCACTGCAGATCCCCCCACAATGAAAAACCTCTGTGAGGCCGCCACAAAAGAAATCCCTCCGTATAGGCTGCGATGACAGGATTCTTTGTGGGGGATCTGCAGTGGCATCTGTAGTGGAATACAATCGGAAAGCAATGCGAATGCAATGAGAATTCATCGGGATTTCTCCATATCCCTCCTCCCCGTCCTGCAATAAGAATACAATCGACGTGCCAACCGATGGTGGAGATGCACAATAAGTCATAAGGACATCCATCAACAATGCCTTGCTGTAATCATGCAAACAAAGGGTCGCACCCGTCGGACCCTTCGCTTGTGCGGTTGCAACCGGCGCTGTTTTGTTATACGGGCATTGAAACAATCCCTGATATGGTGATTCACTCTTGAAATCTCCACGAGTTTCTTTATATCCTCCTCATCGTTCCCCCAGCTAATCTTCATCCCTCTCATGGAAAAGCCCCACAATTAGAATCATTGTGCAACAGCCTTTACAAAGATAATCCTTGTGTGGCGGCTTCACGAAAGGGTTGTAAGTGTGGGGGATCTGCAGTGGCGGCACCTTGAGCCCAGGAAAACGAGAGAGGAGCACAGGAAATATCAAGGCGTGCTGTTGCCTTGTATTGTGGGCATTTCTCTAGCTCCGCCGCGTAGGCATTCATGCCCTTTCTAGGGTTCCCATTTGAGCTGACTCGAGCCGAATCCTCGACGCCGCGCGACGAAGATCATGAATGCTAATGCGATGAGATAGAGATGGGAGAAGTCAGAGGAGAGTAGGTGGTGGGAGGGGAGTGCTGACGAACAGCGGAAAGCGGATGATGCAGACGATGGTAAGGATGAGAATGCTGATTATGATGCAGACGATGATGAGTTGGTAGTGATGATGATAATGATGAGTATGATGCAGATGATGACAATAATGCTGAGAATAGTGAGGATAATGCTGACGATCCTGACGATGTGAATGAGGATGCTGATGATGCCTATGATGCAGATGAGTCTGACGGTGCTGATGATGATGATGATGATGATGATGATGATGATGATGATGATGATGATGATGATGATGATGATGATGATGATGATGATGATGATGATGATGATGGTGCGCAAATTGCGAAACAGGAGGGCCCCACAGCGTTCCCCTCTCGAGAACACAGGCACGGTGGCAGGATGGGCCGAAGGCCACTAGAGAATCCAACAAGCACGAAGAACCGTAGGGTACCCTCCCCGAGCCGATCCTATACCTCGGACCGACTGGAGAGAATCTCGGCTTCAGTTGTATCCGACGGAAGCACCCATCTTTTTAGGGCTATCCATAAAAACCGTGGACCTCAGTTAGGCCACGAATTCATTGTGGTATTAAGTTTTGGGGTTGAGTTACACTTGATGATTTGGACGCCCGAAATGGGCACGAGAAGCATGGGTACGATGCCCAGCGACAAACGTTGTCCAACACCGACAGCGGCCGCTGCTGGGCAGGCGAACTCGTGACCCAACTGGGCAACGGCCGCGGCATGGCGGCAGCGAATCCTGCCCACGAGGAACACTGAACAGTGGTTTCCGTGCGGCAGGTCCGTGTCGTGCCGACCCCGGCGTTCGCTCCCGACACCGCGGGGACTGTTCTAGAAGAAGAGAAAAAGGCATTCATATAAACTTTTTGCGCTCCACGCGGATTTCGTGGATCTGCGCTCGACCCCCCAGAGGCGCCGCCAGGGTGGCCCAGGCGTCGATTCAAGAAATCTGCGGGGACCGTCGAAAGTTTATGTTCATTCTGTTTTTCTGATTCGATGTTCAACCTTGAGCGAACGGCCGTTGCCCAAATGCCAGATCTTTCAGCATCGACCGATGCTGGGTCCCCGGCGGCGTTCCACGTGGAGCGCCCGCGCTGGGGTTGCCGCCCGCCGACACGACGGGATCCTACCACACAGTTGGAGCTCGACCGTAAGAACCCCCCCACAACAGCCCAACCCTGAGACCCCAGGGCGTGCGTTGATTTTTTTAGTGTTGGAACGTCACGCGTTCCATCGCAAAACCATAGAAAAGCCCAAGAAACCCAGGGCACCCTGGGTTTCTTCGGCATGCTTGCTCCTGGCTTCCTGGCAGGGGTCCCTGGCGTGCTTCCTGGCAGGGGTCCCCACTGCACCGTGCCCAGCTCGGCCCCCCCGATCCTCCAGCACCTCGGCGGCCTCCTGCGCGAGCCGCGCCGCGCGGGCCGGCGGCCCGCGGCCCGAGCGGAGCAGCAGCCCTGCCTGTTCGGGAGGGGCTCGGCGCGGAGGGGCGAGCCTGCGAGCAGGAGTGCACGAGGGGGGATGCGAGCCCCCGAGCGGCCCAAGAGAGGCCCCCAGTAAGCCCCAAGGGGCCCCCAAGAGGCCCCAGAACGGCCCCAGGACGCTTGAAAGCTGCCTCCGAGAGGCTCCACCAGGCCCCCAAGCAGCTCCCAAGACGCCCACGGGAGTCCCACAATAGAGCCCAAGAAGCTCACGACGCCCACCATGACCACCTGAAGGATGGAGGCAGAGGGTGGTCAGCGGTGGTGGTGGTGGTGGTGGTGGTGGTGGTGGTGGTGGTGGTGGTGGTGGTGGTGGTGGTGGTGGTGGTGGTGGTGGTGGTGGTGGTGGTGGTGGTGGTGGGTCATATCGTTTCGGACGACTTCGCTGGACAGTATGCACACCCGCATCGCGCACACCAGCTCATCCTGAATCCCCCCAGGTAGTGGTGGAAGGGGTGGTGGTGCGCTTTCTGCTCCCAATGAGGATGCAAGCCCCGTGGACGCCCATGTCGAAGCTGTTTCGAGCGGGGCTGGCCATCGAAAGTGGTAGGGGACGGACCGAAGAGGCGAGGATGCAAGGGTATCCTTGGGAAGCTTAGCCATCCTCATCTTTGACTTCGACTGTACACCACGCCGCTTGGTCGGCCGAGGAGCTCAGTGCATAGACGCCCCAGCTTCCGAGGCCGCGGGGCGCTGGAGCGTCTGTGCTTCGAGCTCCTTCGCCAAACTCCTTGGTCCCTCGACCGACCACACGACGCGGGGCATGTCCTCGAGCCCCCATCTGAGCCTCGGCCAGGAGATCGTCGGCCGAGATCTCCAGGGCCACCCTCTCCGGCAGGACCGCCCTCCAGGAGACGCCGCGGGGGCGGCCCCGCTCGTCGAAGCGCAGCGCCACCCGGAAGCACATGCCGGGGCCTGCATCGTCGGCGGGGTGCAGCCCGATGGTCCAGTTCTTCGCGTGCCCCAGGCCGTCGGGGCCCAGCAGCTCGTGCGCCACGTGCGGGCTCGCATCCGCGCAGCTGGGGTACAGGGTGGCCCCCCACTTGCCCTCGGCCAGGATCTGGAAGCTCTCCCAGCCCTGCTCGCCCAGCGTGACGGTGTGCGCGAAACTGGCCCCATCCCATGTCATCGCCGCGGGCTTCCAGTCGTTCCACGTGCCCGCTATCCGCCACCGTGCCAACGACACGTCGTGGAGCGTCTCTGGGACCCTGGTGAGCAGTGCTTGCACTGGGGGCTCTTCCGTAGGAACTTTAAGGGGCCTGCTCCTCTGGACTCTCGCCCGGTGGCCGCCCCTGGGTGCCTCGTGGGCGCCCCGCGTGCTGGCCGGCTTCTCCAGGCTTTCCGCCCGTGGGAGCCTCGTGGCCGTCCCGTGCGCAGGCTGGCAGTTCCAGGCCTTCGCCTGGTGCAGAGAGCAACTGTTGTGTCAACGCATGCGCACCGCACAGTATGAGCTGACAGGAATGGGGTGGTGTTCATACCAGGCCTCGCCAGCTGGCGTGCAATCTTTGAAATACTGAGCGAACGCTCGCGCAGCATAAGTTATGCAAGCCTGGCCCTGGCAGGGAGTAGGTTATCTGTTTCCTGTGGCCAGGGAGCATACATGGTACCACATGTCTTGTGAAGAAATATATGTCGTGCACGCTCTGAGGAGCACGCAGTGTGTAGCAAGGTATTTGTTGCATGCTACTGGTACGATATCTGTGGCGCATGCTACGTCATGAACTATGTTCGGTCTGGCTTAGCTCGCCAAACAATATGCCCAGAGCGTTTTTTGTTAGCGTTTTCTGCTCGGCGTCTTGGAAATCTAGTGTTGGCACATTCAGGTCTCAACGATAAACTAAAACGCTAAAACAATGATGCGTTGTTTCAGCGTTTTCAGACCGGTGTTTTAGCGTGTTCAGCCTGACCCCCCCCCAACAAAAAAAACCTGGAAAGCTTAAAAAACGTAGCGTCGTTTTAGCGTATTCAGCCTGTCAAGAATCCAAAGTGGAAAACGCTAAAAATACGCCTAGGGCGCTTCTAAGTCGAACCAAGCGGTCGGGTGTGCGTGGTTCAAAACGTGTCGTGAAAGCAAGACCTGCATGTATGTACTAGAACCACGCGCGCGCATCACAAGCGCTAGGTTCTAGCATGCTCCAGTTGTAGCCTAAACAGTTCGGCATCCGCCGGAGGACGTGTATTGTCATACGGGTCGTGCCCCTCCAGGAGCTTCACCTGCGGCCCCAGGGACAAGCTTGGCGTAGCGCCCCCGCGCCTATGTCAGCACACCCCTCACAGGGATCGCGCCCCACAAGGAACCCCACCTGCGTCCCCAGAGACAAGGCTCGCAGAATGGCATGCCCCTCAGGCGGACCGTGCCCCGCAAGGAAGTGCATTTATGGCACCAGAGGAAAGCTTCATAGCATCGCCCAGCTCACTTCGGCGCACCTCTCACACGGGTCGTGGCCCACAAAAAAAACACGGACGGCCCCAGACACAAGGTTCGCATCCCAGCCCCCCGCCAACTGAGGCACACCTCTCACACGAATCGTGGCACACAGGGATCACCACCTACGGCCACAAAGGCAGGGTTCGCACTGCCCCCCCCCCTTGGCCTTTGCGGCACAACCCCATCACGCGGGTCGTGCCCACGAGGAGCACCGCCTAAAGGTCCAGAGACAAGATCCGCACAGCGCCCCCTCGCCCATGTCGGCACACCCGTCACGCGAACCATGCCCCAGGAGGAACTCCACCTATGGCACAAGTTTGCAGTTTCGCATGGCGTTCCCCTGCCCATTTCGGAACATGCCTCGCACGGGTCGCGCCCAGAGGAGGTCCACATGCGGCCTCAATGGGCGTGTTCGCTTGGGGGCATCCGAGTTACTGGGCACACCCTGGACCGCGCCCCACAAGGAGTTCAGCGCACCCGTGCACGCCTTCTCCGCAACAATCATCTTTCCGCATTGCCCCCGCGGCGCGCAGTGTATCACGAGGGACCCGCGTTCTGCGCTACACATGACTGCGGAAGGATGGGTCCGTCGCCAAACCAATTGCTGGTTTATGGGGCGAAACAATTTTGGCCCTCTCGGGGCGCATCTTGTTTTCGGGGCCTCTTGAGCCGTCATATTCGGGCGTCTTCGGTCCTGCCAGGCCACTCTGGTCGTTATCTGGTAAATTCCAAAACTGTTTGAGCGGCTGGGGGAGGCACAAGAGGCTCTGGAAGGGGTTTGAAATGTCGTTGGCCAAACGGGGGGGGAAATCCAGAAGGGTGTCGGGGCCCAGATTTAGTCCTCCTCCTCCTCCTCCTCCTCCTCCTCCTCCTCCTCCTCCTCCTCCTCCTCCTCCTCCTCCTCCTCCTCCTCCTCCTCCTCCCTTCCGTCTAGCATTTGGGAACCTCCGGGGACCTCTTGGGGACCTCGCAGAGGAGAGCGGCAGCTGCAAGCGGCACCCTGGACACCGAGTCCACTCGGAGCGGGGCCGCGGGCCCGACCCCAGTGCCGATGTGAACGGGTCCCCGGGCAACGCTACGCTGAATTGGAGTGTCTGGTGGGATGGCGCGGGCCCTCCTCCTCCTCCTTCTCCTCCTCCTCCTGCTCCTCCTCCTCCTCCTCCTCATCCTCCTCCTCATCCTCCTCCTCCTCCTCCTCTTCGGTCTCCACGTCGGACTGGCGGCGACAATCATGCTCCCGAAGGCCCTATGGGAAAATGATGGTGTGGGCTATGTTGGAATCCTCTTTGATGTTTCAGAAGTACCCCACACTAGGCTGCAAAACCCGAAGGACAGCCAGATGAGACCATTCGAAAATCGTGAGATGATGGTGAAGCTTGAAAGTGAGATGGGGGATGTGCAAAAGCAATCAATCAAAATATTGAAGGAATTTGGAAGGCCACGGCAAGGAGTGTGAGAAGGAGCGTAAGGGCGCGCGAAAGAGACTGGAATGGCCTTCGACCCATCTCGCCACTGTGCCTGGATAGTGGGTCAGAAGCCATGAAGGTGTTAGGAGGGATGTCGAAGGAGCCTTCGCGGGGGCCTCTTGGGGTCCTCTTGAAGCCTCCTGGCAGCCTCTTGGGGCCTTCTTGGGGCCTCCTGGGGGCTTCTTGGGTCGACAAACTGAAAATGTCGGCTCATGCTCCCCCTTTTGAGCCCATCTTGGGGTCATCTGTAAGGCCTCTGAGGCCGTCTTGGGCGCCCCTGGGGCCGTCATGGAGTCGTGTTAGGCCGTCACCGGGCCCTGGCCTCTGGGCCCGTCCTGAGGCGGTGTTGGAGGCCTGCTGGGCCGTCTTGGATTGTCGGAAACTCGAAACGTAGAGAACTCCGAAAACATGGAGAAAGCATTGGGAAGTCAAAGATTTGGGCCTCTGGGGGCACTCGTCTGGGGCCTCGGGCGACCACTTGAGCCTGCCCAGGGCCGTCCTGGCGCCTTCTTGAGGCCTCCTGGGGGCCTCTTGGGGCGAAGACTCGGACTTTCGGGTTCATGTTCCCCCTCTTGAGCCCGTCTTGGGGGCCTCTTGGATCAACTGAAACTCGGAGAATGGAGAGCCCCCAAAAAACATGCCGAAACGCCGAAATGAAATTAACACGTCTTGCCTCCCGGAGCATTCGTCTGGGGCCTCGGGCGCCCGCTGGGCCTGC